TTTTTTCTTGTTCTTGCTCCTCTTGTTCTACTTCTTGTTCTTGTTCTTCTTGTTCTTGTTCTACTTCTTTTTCTTCTACTTCCTGTTCCTGTTTTTATGCTTCTTGTTCTACATCTTGTTCTTGGGCTTTTACTTCTTGTTCTTGTTCTACTTCTTGTTGTTCTTCCCTTTTTTCTCGTTCTTGTTCTTCTTGTTCTTCTTCTTCTTCTTGTTCTACTTCTTGTTCTTGTTCTTCTACTCCCTGTTCTTCTTATTATTCTTGTTCTACGTCTTGTTCTTGTACTTTTTTTTTCTTGTTCGTGTACTTCTTCTTGTTCTTGTTCTTCTCCTGTGTGTGCCCATGGCCCTGCAGTCCCATACCCTTTATGGGGATTGGGTGTTTACCTATGCAAATTAGGATCAACCGGCAAATGCTTTTAACTTACAAGGACAATAGGATTCATAATTACAAGAAAAGATGTGTGAACAATTCTGTGGTTTAAGAGCATGTCATGAAACTAATTCAGACCTTTCTTTGGATCTTTCTTAAGAACAAATTTAAGAAAACAGGAATATATTGGTGAATGAAGCCCCAGTGAACCTGCTTGGGAATAGTTTCTGTCAAGGTCTTATGTTCCTAAATGTCATTTATGAAATGGATGAAAAAACACTAAAGGCTCAGAGGCATTAACAGCTGCCCCTGCCAAGAAATCCAATAGTGAGTGTTTATGGCTATTACACTGATAAACAACAGAAATCAGTCAGTGTGTGAACGAGTCTTTGACGGCAACTCAAATGTGCACGTCTGGTACAACTCGTCATGTCTGTGGGCAAAGATGTAGTTATCATAATACTGCCTGCTGTAAGACTGCCCAGCTCTCGTTTCATGAACAGGTTAACAGTGCATGAGAATGAATGTCAGGTTTGAGGGGCTGATACAGTCTGAATTAGCAAGACTGAGTCATTGCCCGACAGCCTTTTCACTACAATGGGGGAGACTGAACTGCCGCATCACTACCAGAGCTGTGCAAATGCCAAAAAAATGAGGCATTGTTTATATGCTAATCCCAAGCATGACACCAATTGTGCTGCTTATTCTGTTTTGGGGGGTATTTGACACACTTTTTAGGAAGAAAACCGAACTGTTGTTCAGAGGGGGGAACAACTCCAAGCTCACTATAATAGATATGTTAGTAACCAGGGGTGTGGATGGTAGAAAGAAAACATTTCAACAAACATTTAGCTGGCCAGTAAAAGACCAATCTAATGCCTGGGTGATTTCATGTTATTGCTGCTTTGATTATTTAAAATGTGGGTATACTGTGATATAGTTGTACCGACAATGCTCAGCTGTATGTGCAGCTGAGAGATGTGACAGAAAAGCTGTTAGAGCCTGGCTGGCAGTAAAATCCATCACTGGTGGGCTGAAGGACTAATGACTCAGAAATCCTCATTGAGAAATGTGTTTATTTCCTCGCTCCTGCAGGAAGGAGCATTATCATTTAGGCACACATCACAAACAACTCTCCATCAAAACCCACATTTTGAGCCAGTTTTCAGTGCGGAGGGTACATCCTGTTTGTATTTCAGTAGTCATGTACTGTATACAGAGCATTTTGCAGTGGCTATTTATGAATTAGAGGGAATGCTGTTATGAAAGCTTTTGACTTTAGACTCTCAACACTGACTACATTTACATGCACACTAATATTCCACTATTATTCTGAATTAAGCATTTTCAGATTGAGATATGTGGGAAAAGCTGATGTTATTCAGGTTTTAATAGCATTTTTTTTAGAAATATAGTAGATTTGGACTATGCATCTCAGCTGGGGTTTTTACCGCAGTTTGCGGCACATGGCCTCTTGCCTGTTTACAGTCAGCTGTGTGTGCTGTCATGGATATGTTGTACACAAACTGACTAGCCAACAGTTTGCAAGGCTGGGGTAAAGACGCATGCCCAAAAGAAAAAACCCCACTTCTGATCGGAAAGAGAAACACACCTAGTTTTAAACATTATTAAAGACTCAGTTATCAACGTTTTTTTAAATCTGTGTAAACGTCAAAACGCCGACCTTTTCAAGAAGGTGGTTAAAGGAATGAAATATGGAGGCTGTGTTCCCACGGTCGAACAAATGGGAGAACACTGAAAAAAGTAAGCAAACGGCAGAAGTTCTCTTTATGCCTTTTAAGTCTGTCCATTGATCCACCACTTTGGTCGAAAGAACAAAATACCTGCAAAGCTAATCACATTCCCACCAGACTGTACTTTGTGTTATTCACCAACTTTTACCTTGCCCACAAAAAAAAGGTGGTGAACATGGTAAAAATTCTACCTGTTTTCAAGTACCAGCATGTTAGCATTATCATTGTAATAATGTGCAAATGTGCATAGTGTGCAAAAAGTGGAAACGTTTCAGTTGATGTTGGACTTTCCTGTTCCTACACTGAGGAAACTCCAACTGTTTTACTGTCTGTGTAGCCCTGCAACATGTGAAATTGAGATTTTTGAAATCCAGACTTCAGTCTGAATCTTTTTTTGTTCTGTGTGCAAGTCTTCCTTTGCTGCATTGTGACATTCTTGTGACTTTTGCACCAGAAAAGAAGACTAACACAGGACTGTGCATTAAGGTGCAGCTCATCCCATGCCTAGCATTATCATTGTAAACATTTGTAACTGGTTAGCTTCAAAAAGCTTTGCATGATGCTTGTCTTAGAAAGATTATGCAATTCAAATGGAGAATGCATATTATCAGAAAGTGTGTTTCTTGAGTTGCAAACAGTTTTAAACCCCCAAAAATGTATTTAAATTTGCTAACGTAACACAAGTAATTACTTAAATCCTGTCATAATCACGATTTGTACCAGCAGACACAGAGCTGTCAGATGTGCTAGCCTCAACAATGGTTTTAAATGTGCGGTAAAGGCAGCTAAGGGACATAATGCTGCCTTGACTGATGTAACACATCCTGTAACAGCTTGTGTTTTGCACACAGTTAATTATCACCTTTAATTGGACTATTTTCTTTTTTCCTTCTATAATTATTTAACATCACTATATCCTGAAGCATTAGCAGACAAAGCAGCCAACCACCAAATCTGCATAAAATCATAGTTATTCCAGGTCTTTTTAACACATACGTAACAATCTAACTCTCAAAATGTTTCTGACTTCAAGTGCATGTAGAAGTTGAATGAAAGCTCACATCTGGCCTTGTTTTGCAGATCACTGAAATCGATTCTTCTCTGCCATTATCTGCATCAAAGTACAATGACAAGGGTCAAACTGCCATTGATTTATTGAAAGCCCTGTTAACAGTGTCAAGTGGGGTTACAGTTAAACATATCAATTATGAAAATTTTGGAGTGGTCATGGCATTTAGCTGAACGGAACATTCCTCCCTCATGAATTCCTCTTTTAATCATAAATGCCAACTCACATTTCACCCATTCAAACTATCTACCATTGAGAAGCTTTAAAAGCAATTATCCATATCGCTCTATCCACAGCTCTCTTTTGCTGCACTTATTCTCTTGATTCCTCACATTTCTGGGGCAAATCCTCGCACATTCCCATCTTGTTTTGATGGCCCACTTTTTGCCTGGCAAGACTGAGCTACAAACGGTTTCTGTGGTTCACAGCATCGTCTTGTACTAAGACTCATTACAACTGCATTACGTTATAGCTCTGTATGCCATTAAAACAGTCCCTTTCTTATTTAAATTAACTACTTCTATATATATCTATGTGTAGTCTGTGTATACTTGCTTATGACTTTAAGGGTTAGCAATCTTTAAAATTTTAAAATGCTTGTCTTTGCACT